AATTATATTCATACTTATTTAAATATGCACAAAGTTATACCTGGATGGGTGATTAGTTGCTTGATGAAGATCAAGTAAGCAATAACATAAAAAGTCATTCAATGACTTAAGAAGTTAGCCTTGTTTGATTACTTAACGAACTGGCCTGGGCTGTTCAGCATCTTTCCAGGTAATCGGTAAGTCACATAAGCTGAGTTAATTTAGTTGTAAGCTAGGAAGTCAGACTTGAAATAGCTGACAAATCAAACTGTATATATGTTACTTCAGAGCCTTGGATCGTCCATTAAAAATGATTTCTCTCCAAAAACAAACGAGTATGAGTCAGGCCATTAAGTCATCAGGTAAATTACCTAAATGTGCAATATAAACTATTTGTCGACCAAATAACATTCATCAAGCAACTCATTCTTCCATCACTATGTCATACTTGCCTTAGATTCGAGCTTGAACTATAAGGTGCTTCCCTCTAAATCTTGATAGTTAATGCAGGTGCTTGATTATTTTGACGCTGCATTGGGCACTGATCGGTCTGAAAGTAAAAGGCAAACAAAAGGTAAGAACATACGTTTTTAGAAAGCCAGGGTGTATTAATATAATATGATATAAAGCACCAAAATTGCCCGACCATTTTCTTTAATTAGCCTAACCCTATTTTTCCCGCTCTCTTGTGAATATTTTCATTTATCTTCTTCTATACTAGGTATGCCCGCGTTTTCAGACCCACCTCACTATTCCTGACGCCAAGCCTACGACTCCTCCTTGCTCCCCCTCGTTAACAATTACGGCAAATACTCTCAATACTAGTGCGGCAAAACCCATCATTATCAGACGTAGTGTCGCTATCCGACCCAGCTTCAACTGGTTCCTCATGTTAACACTGCTCTATGCCTCGACAATGGTCGGGCTCGGCTTTACTTTTCCAGAAGATCGAAGACTCTGCAGTTCATGTTCCCGCTTGTTCACCATTTTTGAAGGGAGCAGTAATTGTCGGATGGCCTGAACTTCGTGACATTTTGAGATTTGTTAGGACATTATCCAATAGGTCGTTTATTGTGGCCTTTAGCACAAGCTAGGAAATATGCCTGAAATATTAAGAGCTGAAGGACGCAAAGTGTGTTACATGTAAGGAGAG